TCGGCGGCGCGGGACGCCGAGTTCCGGCAGGCCGCCGAGGCGGAGGCCGAGACGGAGGGCCGCCTCCTCGCGGCGGCGCAGGGCGTGGTCCCTCCGCACGCGGGTTTCGTGTGGCTCCTGCCGACCGACGCGGTGGGCCAGGCCGTCGGGGCCGACGCGGAGGCGCTAGTGCCAGCTGCTGCCCCTGCTGTCCCTGCGGCGGCGCCTGGTGCTGCTCCCGTCGGAGGCCTCGTCGCAGGAACCGCCGCCGCTGCAGCTGTGCTGGTGGCCGCGCCGCCCCCGCGCCTGCAGGGGCCCCTGCAGGGTGTGGCGCCCGTGGGAGCCCAGCCCGGCGTCGCGACGCGCTGGCGTGCGGCCGAGAGCGGGGGTGGCTTCCGCTTCGGGGACCCTGTCCCGGGCCACGTGCGGACGGCGCGGGCGCTCGGGACCAAGGACTTGCACGTGCTGCCCGACGGGACGGCGCTCTTCGTGGAGGAGGTCTCCCCCGGCAACGAGACGAGTTTCTATGGGGGTCTCAGGCGACGCTCGCATCATGGCCGTGCGCCGCAACCGCCAGGGGGGGCGCGAGCGGACGTGGGCCGAGATGGTGGCAGATGCGGCACGCGAAGACTTCGCCAACGATTGGGATCTGCCGGGCCCGCGCTCCACGGCGTGGTGTCTCGAGTTCGTGAACCAGGAGGGGCTCGGGCTTGACGGCCACCACGAGCGCTTCAGGAGCACGTGCAAGCTCGAGAGCTCGAGCTGGGGCGTGTCGGAGCACTATTGCGTCGCGCAGGCCTTGAAGCTCGGGCTCTTGAATGACCAGATCGACGGGGGCAACCTCCTGATGGTCGAGAGCCTCTTCCGTCGCCTCCAGACGATAGAGTTCGCTCACTGCGAGCGGGCTCGCGAGCAGGAGGCCAAGGGGTACGGGGGCAAGCTGAGCCTGGAGGAGCAGATGGCGTTCGCGGGCTCCTCTCGTGCGGGGGGGTCCCTGATGATCTGCCCACTCTAACTGGACTACGTGAGGGGCGAAGTCGAGCGGGAGGCGCCCCTGGCCAAGAACCCCTTGAAGGCGAGAGAGGAGCGCGAGGCGGTTCGCAAAGACAACAAGAGTAATAAGGGCAGGGACACTGGGTGACGGCCGTCTCTCTTTGCCACGCCCTGTTGCGCGGGCCGCGGGCATGGCGGGGCCCGCTGGCCTGCGCGGCTCGCCTCCAGCTGGCGCGCCAGAGCTGCCCCGACCTTCGAGCGACCCCGCGAGCTGGGCTCCGGGGCCCACCAGCGAAGCTTGGCAATTCGACTCCCCCACTCATCCTCCTTTTTTCTTTCCTCCCACGTCTGACCGACGCGTGCCCCGCGAGCTGCCCCCCCTTCCCCGCGGAGAGGTTTTCAGGGTGTCTCGGGCGCGCGCCTGTAAGATGTCACGTGGCACGCGACAGAGACTGGGTAGGCGACAGGCCGAGGATCGCGAGGTCGGTCGAGCGGTCTGGGGCTTGAATTCGCTTTACTCCAATCAGCCGCAGCCCCCGCCTCGCGCCTCTCGGGAGCTGTCTTCGGATCGGGTCAGCGACGCTGGCATTTTTTACTTGCATCTGCAGGTCAGGCCGGGGCGTTGGACCGAGTCCGATGGGCCGCGCGTGACCTCGGCCCCCCACCCGAGGGGGTCACTCCCGCGGAAGCTCTGAGGAAGCTTCGCGTGGCGAGCTGGTACGATGTGGACGGTGCTACGCTCGGTCGCTACTCTCTCGCCGACGTCTCACTGCCTGCGGGCGATCCCAGGCCTGTTCCTGTGTCTGAGCTGCGGGGCGAACGCGGGCGCCGAATGGTAGAGGACTTCTGCCGCTTGAATGTCGTTCCGTCGGAACAGTCGCGGGCTCGACTCCGAGCCTCGGGCGTTGACTCTCCCTGCTCCGATCCCAAGCTTAGGCACCCTCGCGCTTCTGGATTGTTCATGGCGGCGCTGGCCGCCCGCGGAATGCTCGATTTTGCACGCGAGGATGGAGAGCGAGTGGAGCTGTTTTTTTGTAGCCAAGAAGAACGGCAAGCTGAGGCCCGTCGTGGATTGCAGGCGCTCGAACTGTCATTTCACTGAGGCGGGGGGGATCTTTCTCTGCACCGGAGAGGGGCTCGCTGCCATTGAGCTTGGAGCCGATGGAGAGATCTTCGTTGGCGGTGCAGATTTGAGTGACGCTTCTTATCACATGGGCGCCAAGTTGCCGGCTTGGGCCATCGATCGAAGGAGTGGGCGTCTCGTTGCTTCTCCTGAGCGTCTACGGCGCGCTCGGCTTGCTATTCGCGCTCATCTCGCTCGTGGTCGGGCAGAAGGCCGGGATGTTGGAAGGCTCCTCGGACATGTTGTATATATATATACATATATATCCTTGGTGCGACGTGAAGGCCTCAGTTTGTTTTGGAGTTGCTATGGTTTTTATTCACGAGAATTATGGCACGGACTCTGTGATGTGGCCCTCGGTTCTTCGGGAGTTGAGCGTTTGGGGCTCTATCTCTCCACTCCTTTATCGCGATCTGCGGGCTGCTTGGGGTGGCGAAGCTACCGTGGTCGATGCAAGCGAGTGGGGCCTCGGTGCCTGTTCCAGCCGCTGCGGGGCCTCCCTCTGCTCACAGGTTGGGCGTGCATCCGAGAGGTGGCACTGGGGACGGGGGGGCGCCCTCGGGGGTCCCCGTCGCCACGCTGGGCGCTGGGCTCGGAACGCCGCGACGGCGGCGGCCCTCGACGGGTCCGCGGAGAGCGCTGCCCCTTGGATGTACGGCCCCGACGACACCCAGGATCCGGTTCTTGATCATGGCACCTCCGGACGACCGGAGGGCCCTCTCGCTGGGGGCCACGCCCCCGGCGAGAGGGCTGGGACTGGGCGGTGGCGGGGAGGTTCGAGTGGCGCAAGAAAGGCGAGAGCATCCCAGTCCTGGAGGCTCGTGCGACCCTGTACGGCTATAGAAACCTCCTCCGCAATTCCCATCTCCACGGCAAGCGTCTGGTTGTCCTCGGGGATTATATGAGTGTGGCCGGTGCTGTCTCTAAGAGCCGCAGTGGGAGTCGGGCCACGTTGAACGTCACCCAGAGCATCGCCGACCTCTCCCTGGCGACGGGCTCCACTCTCCACTGCCGCTGGCTCCCCTCAGAGTGGAACGCAGCCGACGGACCCTCATGGGGGCGCTGGCACCCCGCGGCCCCCACCGCGCTGGCCGCGCGGGATGCTCGCACGCGCGGCGCCGGCTTCGGGCACCGTGTCCTTGCCCGGCCTGGCGTCGCGGACAAGGCCCTTGCCCTGGACTCCCCAGGCGGAGTTGAGGGGGCCCTGGGCACCAGCTCCGCGCCCTGCCGACGAGATGGCAGGAGCCTCGAGCCGGCCTACGTCATCGGGGCACAGTCGCGTGGCCGCGCTGCGCCAGCAGCAGCGCGTGCTGCGGCGGCCGGCCGCTTCGCCTGCCTCTCTGGCCCCGAGCGGGCCACTGCGCCGCAAGGCCTCCCAGCGGGCCACGCGGGGCGCGACGCGGCGGGCCGCGGCTGCGCGGGTGCCGGGCATGGCGGTGCTCGAGGCGGTGCTCGAGGCGGCGTCCATCCAGCCCAGGGCCCGCAACGGCTACCAGGAGATCTTCCGCGACTTCCTGGCGCGGTCGAACGGGCGGCCCTTGGCGTCGGAGGACCTGGTGGACGAGGCGATCGCGGAGTGGCTCGACGAGCTATGCCTCGACGGGGGGGGCCTGAGCGCGGGCTCGTGGGCTTGCGCGGCGGTGACGTTCTTCGCGGGCCTGAACAAGGCGTCGGGCGCGCTGATGCCGCGTTGCCGCCGTGCTCTACGAGGCTTCCGCAGGTTGGCGCCACCGCGATCTTGATTGCCCATGCCCTACATGGTGGTGGCGATGGTGGCGATGGAGCTGATCGCCCGGCGCCGCCTCGAGAGCGCCTTCGTGGTGCTCCTCATCTTCGAGCTGTACCTGCGGCCCGGGGAGGCCTTCCACATCAGGGCGGTGGACCTTGTGCCCCCAGTCTCGGACGTCAGCGGGGCCCCCCACTGGTGCGCGACGCCCCCATGCAGCCGAGACCGAGCGGGAGTCGAAGACGGGCGAGTTCGACGAGAGCCTCTCGCTGGACCTCGGCCGCCAGTCCAGCCTGGGGCCAGCGCTCAACCAACTGGCGAGCCAGCGCCTCGGGGCCAACTGGCGGGCGGCGCAGCAGAGGTGCGTCGGAACCAGCCACCGCCTGGCCGCCCCGCTGTTCATCGGGGCGCTGGCCGACGCGACGAAGGACTTCAAGACCGTCGTGGAGGCGCTGGGAGTCCACGCGGCCCCAGGCGCCGCCCACATGTACATGCTGCGACGCGGCGGCGCCTCGCGCAACTACGCCTCGGGGCGCCGCCGCCTGGAGGACGTGCGACGGCGCGGCCGCCAGCGTTCGCGGCCCTCGGCGAGACGCCACGAGAAGGGCAGCAGGCTCGCGCAGGTCGCCCACAAGCTCTCGCCCGCCCTGCAGGCCCGCGGAAAGCTCTGCACGGAGCTGCTGAGCGAAGTCGCGTCTGGCCAGCGCTCGGCCGCACCCTTCGTCTCCGACAGCGCGTCTTCGTCGAGGTTTTCTCGGGGGGCGGGCACCTCTCGGAAGCGATCTCGAGCGTAGGTGTGACGGCTTTGCTCTGGGACATTCGCCTGGGCGAGAACTACGACCTTAGGTGCAGGCGCAATCGCCACCTCCTCCTCGGCTGGGTGAGGGATGGGCTGGTGGTTGGGCCCCATGTAGCCACGCCTTGCTCATCCTTCAGCTGGGCCCGAGACACCCCCCTTGGGCCCCCTCGGCTCCGAAGCGACTTGGAGCCGATGGGCCTCGGCGGGCTGTCCCTGGCCGACCAGGAGAAAGTGGCGATTGGTAACATCCTGATGTTGTTTTCGGCGTCTCTTATACGTGAATGCGGCCAGGCTCAGATCCCTTGCCCCCTCGAGAATCCCGCCCGTAGTCGACTGTGGATTTGCCCTGCTATGCGTCGTCTTTCCCGGCCTCGCGGCGT